TCAAGAGTCGAGCGCCATTTTGTTGACAAACGTCAGCGATCGGTACTGCGCCGAAGCTATAGGGCTGACTTCGGTATAATGATGTGTGACGTGAGGTGCCAAACTGCAGAAAATGGCGGTGGAAATTCATGATTGATTATGCATGAATTAACCACTTATTACTTATTTACCTCTCAATGTCTTCAGGCAACTTAAAAAAGTACATTCTGTTTTTTATTATTATTTAGGCAGTTAAATACTGCACAGTGTTTAGTACATCATTTTCTTTATTTTTTTCCATCATACACAAGAATACGCGTGCGTGAGTCAATGCTCGCTCGTATGTGAGGCCTTGTCGAATAGTAATCCTGTAGGGTGCCATCGTGCTTGTTTTGTTTTCGATGTAAACTCGCGGAGATGAACAGGCCTGATATCACTTACTCGCATGCCTCATGGGTGTGATAGGAGGATGGTCTCCTGCATCGTGTCCTTTCTTCGGGCGGTTGATGCCATTCGCGATCAGAGCGCGGACTTCTGCGCCCCATTTGTTGGAGTGTTGCTGCTGCTTCAATGTACCACTGGAGGTAAAACAAATTAATGTTGCGGTTATGGGTTTGAAACCTGGTGACGTATCTAATAATAATAAATAATAAATATCCTTGGACATTTTACACTGCGCTTCTAGTCCCAAACTAAGCAAAGCTTGTACTATGGGTACTAGACAACGGATATAAACACACTTAAATACTTTTTTTTGTAAATACATACTTATTTATCTATATATATAAAAGAAAGTCGTGTTAGTTACTCCACTTATAACTCAAGAACGGCTGAACCGATTTAGCTGAAAATTGTCAGGGAGGTAGTTTAGAGCCAGGAGAAGGACATAGGATACTTTTTATCCCGTTCGAAATTAAAAAAAAGTCTGCTTATTTATTGCCATTAAGGCGGAACAAAGTTTGCCGGGTCAGCTAGTAAATAATAAATATCCTTGGACATTTTACACTGCGCTTCTAGTCCCAAACTAAGCAAAGCTTGTACTATGGGTACTAGAAAACGGATATAAACATACTTAAATACTTTTTTTTGTAAATACATACTTATTTATTATACATAGAATACATACATAGTCCAATACAAACAAATATGTTCATGCAAACAAATGTTTGTACTGTGCGGGAATCGAACCTGCTACCTCCGGAATAGTAGTCCGTTTCGAACCACTACACCAAACGGCCGACAATCTTGTCGTTATTAACTTAGAAATCTAGAAAAGTGTAGTCAACATTATTTGGAAAGAGTAAAGCAAGTGTTTCATAGGAAATTGTCATTTCTCACATAGCCATTTTTTATCCACAACAAGGAAGTTGTTGGCCTGCCTGCATCTCACCTGATGAAAAGTGATAATCAGGATCTACGTGTTTCCAAACTGAATGAATTTTACTTTATAATCAAAACATAGCCTTATTTCTACAGTTTCAGGTTTCGGTAATTTACCTACCTAAGAATATAAAAACTATGCAATATAGAAAGATAGCCAAAACTTACATCAAGTCATAGTTTTCTGGATAACTGCTTGTCTCAGTACGAGGATACGAAATGTAACCTTGAGTGTACAACCTCTCAGCAACCTATAAACACAAATAATTATTTAGAAAAACATAACAAATACATAGTCAAAACACTATAAGTGCAAGATATAAAATCGTAATTCTTCTATCTACATTACATTTTAAAAAACAGGAGTAAATTCTGAAAGCTGTTGATGGTCGCACCTGGAAGCGGACGGCGTAGGATCGGTCTTTGTGGAAATCCTTAGAGGAAGCCTTTGTCCTTCAGTGGACGTCATTCGGCTTAAATAACGATAAGTAAATTCATTTTTGTTGGCTGTAATTATAAACTTAATCAAACATGCATCATTTACAGGGTATTGCAACATTTCGTACCATACACTGAACTCTGAACCTAAAACTAACCTGCATAGCATGATGAGGTCCCATTCCAAGTCCCGCACTGGCCACTCTCATCAGCTCCACAGTATTCAAAGCAACTGGACGAGCTTTGATTTTTTCTTTTGCTTGAACATTCACCACCCTAAACAAAAAGATATTAACGTTTAAACAACTATTGCAAGTAACTTAAATACTGTATTGCCCAATTATTTATTTATTGCCTTTGAGCCTTAATTATTATACAAGCAGGAAGTGAAATTTTACAATTTAAAATTATTATTTTCGTTACAATTATTAAGTAGATTAACTTACAAAGCTTCTTTTATTTCCTTGATGCCAGCAAGGAACATATTCGCAATATCCCTCTCAAAAGACCTCACTCTCTTCCATTCTAGAGGCAGTTCTCTGCCCTCAGAGGTAGAAGCAGTCACTCGGAGCACCCAGAAAGACTCCGGCTTGAACGTCTGAATCTCATCGTGCCGTTGGACGCAGAACCCAAGAGTTGGAGTTTGGCATGGCCCGTAGGATATCAGTGAGGCATCTAGATCACCATATCTACCTAGAATTTGGNGAATTTGATAATACACAATGTTTAGTACAAGTAGGAAGTATAAACCCTTTATAAGAGAGTAAAAATATAGCCCTAAAATTTATTTTAAATCTTTTTTTACTGATTTAACTCTTTATCCTATATTATATTGTCACAATAATTTGAACTTTATTCACTTATCATAAGTGAATAAATAAAGGTCCAAAAACCATATACAACAAGAGATACATCAACAACTTTACTTGTTTTTTTTATTGATGCATTAACTTACCTTGAAAATACTTAGTCTGGAATCTAGTAAACGCACACCCAATCCGTAGATCCAACTCTTGACGAGCATCTACACACCGTGACTGGTTCTCATTGGGCCTGCCCAAGTTCATCATGGCTGCTTTAATGTCTTTATCGGTGATGGCGGAGAAGTGAGCTCGATACGTCACTAGGGGTGAGTTTACATCGTTCTTCAGATAACCCTGGACACAACTCATGACCTGAAAAGTTTAATAACAATTTATTGTCAACACAATACAATTGACAGCAATAGCTTTTTCTATCCATAGGCAAAAATAGCTGTTACTAAGGTACACACTAAAATCTAATTCAGTAATACTTAGCATTGATATTCTAACTAGAAAACTACTACACTTAGTATAATTTCGGTGTTAAACATAAATAGAAATAGAATTGCTAGTAAATTATACTTTCTCTGTAACTACTGACCTCAAAGCAGATATTTTCTCCTTCTTTATCACAATCAAGCCAAAGTATCAGCAGATCACATCCTCTGGCCTCTTGTGCCAAGAAAGCGGGTATTCTCAATCGAGGCATAGCTTCCTTCTTCTCCGTCGGGCAACTAAACAGCTCCACAGGATCCACTTTATCCCAGTTATTGTATTTACCGGTAAAATCCAAACCCATAACATGCCCACAAACAGAAGTCATTTTAAACCGGACTGGCTCATTTTTAAAAGTGCCATTCCATTCATGAACTGAACAAGCTCCATTTTGACCTAAAAGTAAAGTTTTATTAGAGAAATTCACCCAATTACGCGAATTATAAACCAATAACTAATCGATAGAATTCGAGTACCTTTATTGGTACTAGATTTGCCATTACTAAGAATGTTAGCAAGATTCTGTGCTAAAGATGGCTTTTCAGCCACCATCAAAGCAGTTCTCATGATGATTTCAAAATAATTACAGAGGGATTCATAAAAATATTGTGTACGAATCCAAAAACACACGCACGATAAAATTTATAGAACAGAAACAGACATGACGTTTATAAATTTTGACATTTGTAATTTAGTGCTTTCACAAGAAAAACACAATTTCTACCATTTATTTAGTGACTTTTTTTAAACATTAAAAAAAGCACATTCACGAAACTTTGGTTCTGAAATATTATGTTTCTTTATTACAAGCACCGTCTATAGTAATAAAATTCAAACTGTAGGTACCTACCTCTCGTCCAGACTTGTACAGACTTGACAAAACATTGTTTTTACCAAAAAAATGAGTTCGGTTCGGACGAAGAAAATAATAATATAGTCAAAATGACAAATAATGTAGGAGTCTAGGACCCTGTCCTTCGACTCGATCCAAGTGGGGCTGCTTTTCTGTAACTATACGTGTTTCTACCAGGCATGAAAAGCAAAAACATTATTGGTGCAAAAAAAAACAAAAAGGTTTTGTGCAAACAATTTCGTTGAATTTTGACATGTTGTGTAGGGAAAAACTCGCGCTGAAAAAAGTTTTTTTGTTCATTTCAACCAGCCAAACGATATCCACAGCTGGACTAAAGCCCTGTTCCAAGTTCAAAGTTTGAAGGTTTTTTTTACTAGTTTACAAATTGCAAGTTTATTAACAATAAACAGTGAAAATTAGTTTATTGAGTTTTATCTTCTTCTTTCTTTTTTTCGTGTCGACAACTAACCGACACAGTGTCAGCCCAAAACTCCGCCACAAGAGTGGCGTTGTCAGACCAGTTTTTATCTTAATCATATCAAGAGAAAAAAAGAAAGAAAGAAAGAAAAATATTTATTCGATGCAAGTAGGTACACAGCAAGATAATAACTAAAACTAGACAACAGAACGTCTACAAGCACCAAAATGGCATCAGCTCAGGACGCCCGGCGTAACGCCGTGACGGCAGAGAGCGCGTCACGACCACTGGTATTCTGCGGATGCCAGTTGAGGTAAAGAAAAAAATCCTGCTTTTTTTTTAGATAATGCTTTTTATATTCATAGATTTTCTCTTTTTGTTCTCCCAGTTTTAATATAGTAGTAGATTATTTTTGGGCGGTTAACCCCAATCAAATTTTCGTTTAGAAATTATGTTCAAAAACTTTATAGAAACAAAAAGAATTAAATTAAAATGTTAATTTTTTACTTACCATTTTGAAAACATTTTATAGAAAGTTGTAAAAAATACCTTTTTAACTTAATAATATGTTTTAATTACATTAAAAGTAAGAAATATTACATTGATTGATTCAGTTTCTAAACTTATTGGGAAACGTCATAAATTGTCTTGGTTGGGGGGTGCGCCTGTCTATTTGCTCGTAGCATATTTTCCGATAAAATCATCTGAAAATCCTTGAACCATGCGAGGACTATTATTAAATTGTGTGTAGATTATTTAATTGTACCTGCAAGCATTTTTATAAGAACTCAGTGCTAGTGTATAAGTGCATTTTGCTCGGTCCTAAACGTTTTGTGACATGGTATGTGTGGGGATTGTTTTTAATTGTTTATTTATGTAATTGCCTGCGTAGATATGAGAGTGTATGTGAAAGTGTTTGGTGTTTCTTGCAGAGCCATCCTCGGGCAGACACTATTTGCCCACCAGCTCACCTGAGGGTGATGCTGCCGTCGACTTTGGAGATGCCTCCGCCTTTCTTTGACATTAGTAAGTACCTCGATCATACTGTACATTTTCTAGATAAAATATTCAAGACCATTCATTACTTACCAGTTTCCTTATCATAACTAAGTCTCATTATCCTTAAATATGGTAAAATTACAACTGTAATCTTTTAATTACAAAAACATGTTCACATCAATCATACCTAAACACATGTTCAGCAATATTGAGTAAGTATTTATCAACATTCTTATCAGCAGCCGACTATAATGTAACTTGATTTGTGAACAAATAACAGTTGAATGCATATTGTTATAACATTGAATTTATAGAGGAAAGGAAGTGGGCAACAATTTTTAAAGGAAAAACTTGTATTATGTACCTAAAATATGCAAATAAGAAGAAATTCCATGTAAACCAACTTTAGTCTTTGTATATTTGTGTTATTTGAATCATTTTGTTTATTTTTAGTTATGATAAGCTTATCATTACTTAATATTTAATCTAAAATTAGTCACACACATGTGATTCATAGTGTGAAGCTCATTTTACACCATCTGTAATTTTAAAACTGTAAGTTTATTACTTTGCAGTAATAAATCATCGCAAGTTGGTCATCATTTATGTTTTCTCTTAAGATAAGTTTTCTGTATTTTTACACTAACTAAAAACTGATAATTTGTGCAATCATTAAATCGTCGGACAATTAAAATGGTGTACTACGCATTATGCCAGTCTCTAATCGAATACTGCATTACTNTGGTATTTATTAATGAAAAATGTATCTTTTATTTTTTCTTACTATTTTAGTTGAAATGGAACGTGAAAGTTTAAAATCTTATATCTTTTATTTCTTTGAAATGAGGTTCAAAATCAATGGAATCATCTTTAGTACATTTGATACATAGATTTACTCCAAAAATTACATTAATCAATAATTAAATATTATTTTGCTAAAACACTTCTTAAATAAAAAAAAAAAATACAAAGTAAACAGAACATGTACTTTTGCAAAAGAAAATTAACTCAGATTACATTCATTTAAATGTAGATTACACACATTCTTTTAGATTGTAATTGTTTGTAATTGTAGTTTGTATTGATGATTGGATACTTATTAAGGAACTGCAATTGACTGTAATCATTGCGGTGACCTTGAGGGCAACAGTTTAGCAGAAAACACACTTGTGTATCATGGTACACCTAAATAATCTAACTTAAATGATGAACAAGTAAGTTAATTGTACTTATTTTTCAAATATCCGTACTTTTAGATTACTATTATGGTCAGGTCAGATTTCTTAAATCACCATTGCAAGTAAAAAGTATTTTTAAGTGCTCTGGAAGTTCAATTAACAGTTAATTTTGAATTTTCAGTGATTGTAAATATTTGGATATAATACTGGAGCTATTCTATTGATTTCATTTTTGTACTATGTATAAACTTTGGAACAACACATGAAATGTAGTTGTATTATCTGCTATTAAGCTACATAAATTGATGAATCAGATGTGATGTCACCTGAAAAAGCCATTTCACTACATAGTATAAAACAAAGTCGCTTCCTGCACTGTCTTGTTTCTATGTATGCTTAGATCTTTAAAACTACGCAATGGATTTTGATGTTTTTTTTTAATAGATAGAGTGATTCAAGAGGAAGGTTTACACATACTTATACTTAGGACCCAAAGGTGCACGGATGCAATGGTGGTGGGTCGCTAGTCTACATAAATAAAGAATTTTGTCAGGCCAGCATTCGTATTATAATAATATTTTTATGCTTATTTCCAGACAGTGTAACGGAGATTCCGCCACCCCAGGCGGACTTCTCCGCTCCACCTCCGTACGATGTGGCGGCCAACTCCAAGCTGCCCACTTACGAGGAGGTGCAGCGGGAGAAACAGATGGAGGGGGAGGGCCCGATGCCACAGGTTGGGAAATATTGTTTTTAAACTATGAGGGTTTTCGCGTATGAAAGATCCTCTAGATGGCGGGACGTGGATGTGGGGTCTGACTGCTGCGTGATTGGTGGATTTTGACATATCTGTCAATGTCATGTCAAAAATAACCAATCATGCAGCATTTGGACCTCGCGTCTACGTATTGCCATCTGGCGGATTTTTCATACGCGAAAACCCTCATTACTCGATTAATTTCCGTTAGTGAGTTATTTAATATTTTAAGAGTTGGTAACTACTGATTATTGTAGGAAAAATAATAACATTTCAGGATTAATCATGTTGGATAAGGAAAAATATGGGTTTAATAGTGCTGGATTATGGGGTTTTTTTTTAAGTAATTTCTCATTAGTATAATCCTGCAGGTTTCTGCAATTTAATAAACAGCACATCCAACAAAAAGAAATCTTACACTGCTCATATTCTAAGTCGAATAAGAGCCATTTTAGCAGGACATTTAAAAGATACTTCAGCAAGGCAGTTTTGTATGATTTGTAACATATTAACTAACAGTTGATTATGTACAGTCATCTGCATGTTAGACGAGATACCGTGAATAGAACAATGTGCTGCACATTGCATCTTTTTTTGTACTATAAAAACAAATTCAACGATAATTTTGAACAACAATGTGCAATTTCATATCACAATGTTTAGTCTGATATGCCATAGTCTGTTTTTGATGCGACTTTCGCATTCAGTAGGTATTTATAAAAGTATTTATTGTTAAGGTGCAAGGCCCGCCGCCCCATCACCCGACGTTCGCCGCCTTCGTGACGGTGGAACCGACTGAGGCGTCTGCAGAACAGCTTGACCCCGAGAACAGTCTATTGGGCACCGATATCATGTTCCTGACTTCGTTCTTTGGTGAGTTTTATTTAATTTTTTTTTACCAACTGCGACTACATTCACCAATGAAAGAACTAGTCATTGATGCCTGTTACTGCATTGTTTTGTGAAAACTAAGACTAGGTTGCACCATCTTGAGCCGCGGACGAATGTCCAATAATAGGACAATAACTCGCGGCTTCATTTCAATGGCCCCGGAGGACACCGTCAGGTTTTAGTGGGTTGAGAGTCCCACATAACCCACTGACTATCCCCATCGGCCTGTGGGTATGCGCAAAGCCGGCGCATAAAAAAGGTTGCACCATCTTATTTTAACTTTCAAAAATCTGTCAAACTCCATACAAAATACACCGGATAAAGTTATAGACAGTTAAAGTAAGGTGGTGCAACTCAGCCTAAGTTGTCTAGTTTCTATCTTTTCAGTTCATTTTTATGCAGACAGGATTTTTGTCTCCTCAATAATTTCTTTGAAAAAAATACCAGCATACTTATTTACTGGAGATTTACGCGCATAGGACACCTTCATCGCGAATGACAGCAATAGCATACATTTTCTATGTATACACATATCGGTGTTCAATTTGTTAATGTGCTGAAACGAATGCGATATTTATGTTCATTTGTTTCCCTATCGCGGTTTAGTGGCGGCAGAGGTGTGTGTGCTAATGACGTATCACGTAGAAACCGCTTGCTATAAGGTTAAAAATCATGCATTAATAAAATAAGATAAACGTGAAACCCTTTCAATACACGTCTCTGCGTTCATTTTGTCGCTAATAGTCCAGTCATTTAAGCTTAAATTAGATAAGAATCTCGGAATTAGAGATACCCAGCTGTAAGTCTGTAGANTGTCAGGCCAGCATTTGTATTATAATAATATTTTTCTGCTTATTTCCAGACAGTGTAGCGGAGATTCCGCCACCACAGGCGGACTTCTCCGCTCCACCTCCGTACGATGTGGCGGCCAACTCCAAGCTGCCCACTTATGAGGAGGTGCAGCGGGAGAAACAGATGGAGGGGGAGGGCCCGATGCCACAGGTTGGGAAATATTGTTTTTAAACAACGTGATTGATTTCCGTTAGTGAGTTATTTAATATTTTAAGAGTTGGTAACTACTGATTATTGTAGGAAAAATAATAACATTTCAGGATTAATCATGTTGGATAAGGAAAAATATGGGTTTAATAGTGCTAGATTATGGGGTTTTTTTAAAGTAATTTCTCATTAGTATAATCCTGCAGGTTTCTGCAATTTAATAAACAGCACATCCAACAAAATGCAATCTTACACTGCTCATATTCTAAGTCGAATAAGAGCCATTTTAGCAGGATATTTCAAGATACTTCATCAAGGCAGTTTTGTATGATTTGTAACATATTGACTAACAGTTGATTATGTACAGTCATCTGCATGTTAGACGAGATACCGTGTATAGACAGCAGCACATCAAGCTAAACTTTGTCATCTTTAGCTTGATGTGCTGCACGTTGCATCTTTTTTTGTACTATAAAAACAAATTCAATGATAATTTTCAACAACAATGTGTAATTTCATATCACAATCGTGTCACAATGTTTAGTCTGACATGCCATAGTCTGTTTTTGATGCGACTTTCGCATTCAGTATTTATTTATAAATGTATTTATTGTTAAGGTGCAAGGCCCGCCGCCCCATCACCCGACGTTCGCCGCCTTCGTGACAGTTGAACCGACTGAGGCGTCTGCAGAACAGCTCGACCCCGAGAACAGTCTGCTGGGCACTGATATCATGTTCCTGACTTCGTTCTTTGGTGAGTTTTATTACAATTTTTTTACCCGACATTCACCAACAAAAAAACTAGTCATTGATGCTTGCGACTGCATTTGTGAACACTAAGGCACCATCTTGAGCCGCGGACGAATGTCCAATAATAGGACAATAACTCGCGGCTTTATTTCAATGGCCCCGGAAGACACCGTCGGGTTTTAGTGGGTAGAGAGAGACCCACATAACCCACTGACTGTCCCCATCGGCCAGTGAGTATGCGCAAAGCATTTCCCGGCGCAAAAAAAAGGTTGCACCATCTTATTTTAACTTTCAAAAATCTGTCAAACTCCGTACAAAATACACAGGTTATCGTTATAGTTACGTTAGCAACTCAGCCTATCTTTTCAGTTCATTTTTATGCAGTGTGTTTTTTTGTTTTTTTAATAATTTCTTTGAAAATACCGGCGTATTTACTGGAGTTTTACGCGCATAGGACACCTTCATCGCGAATGACAGAATACACTTTCTATACACATGTCGGCGTTAGTTAATGTGCTGAAACGAATGCGATATTTATGTTCATTTGTTTCCTTGTCGCGGTTTGGTGGCGGCAGAGGTGTGCTAATGACGTAGCACGTAGAAACCGCTTGCTATAAGGTTAATCAAAAACATAAAGGTAAAAAGAGAGCCAAGTTCAATATTATGATATTATTTATTTATGCCTTGGTTGTTGACTTCAACGACAAAAGAAGTGGGATCTAAATGGGTGCCAGTTCAATCAATAGTCAGTCTTGAAATTTATATATAACAGCATAAAATATCATTTATTATTAAATATCTCGCAAGTCTCATACATGAGCCAAAGACACGTTTATACCTACAGCCGGAGGTCGGCAGGTTATGTGGGGCTCGAACCCACTAAAAACCTGGGGTGTTCCCTCTGCCGCATAGTGGTCGGCGCCTTGGGCACTAGAAACGACCAAGGCGCACGGAGTTAAGGTTGCAGCAATGGCGATCAGACTTAAAATGCATTGATCGCCATCGTTGCACGCCGGCTGATCGCGTGTGATTGTGTTGGTTTGACCGAACCTTTCCTGGCGTAAATACCACTTACTTTAAGGATAGCATGGACGAAGGAAACAATTAATTTCATACTAACAGCTTGTTACAAGTGGATACAATCGTCATCGTTGGACTTTTTGATGAGTGTGAAATAAAATAACAGCGTTCAATTGTCGTAAAAATGCTCAACTGCTCGTATCAAATTGCTGCTGTTTGTCGCGTTCATTATTGTATTTTCATAAAACGTGAAAATTGCTCTGTAACAGACCAACATTTGGTGACATTTCAATGACGTCATTCAGTCAGGGTTTATGGAAAAATATTTTTTATAATTAGCAACATAAAGGCTTAATTTCAATGCTACTTAGTATTTGGTAAGGACCAGAAATGTAACATGCTTGATTTCGTCATAATATGAAATGACATCAGCTATGGATGTTGATGTGAAGAAGCCATTCTTTCATTTGATAACAAAGACACGAGCGTCCAATTTTCTCGAGTACTTACGTCATGGCTTCATAAACAAATCCAAAAACCGCCGAAGTGCGGTGTGCTCCGTACTTACCTACATATTTATCGCGTCACATGTTTCTTATTACACACATCGTTCTGTGGGTCACCAAAATATTTCTTAAAAATGTAAATATGATCATCTTGCTCACCAGATTTTTTAGCTGTCCTAAGACAGATGGAATGATAGACAAGTAATTAAAGAATTTAAACTTGACGCGATAACTGTGATAAATATTCTATCATTGTCCAAATTATTCGATCTTGAGATTAGCCGTGTGACAAAAATAGATTTAAATGTAGATGTTTGATTTTTAGTAGCATGCTAATTGGATACGCTTCAATTGTAATCTATTTGCACAACTCGTTTGGTAAATCGATCACCTAAAATACGTGCGATAATCGTGTCAATCGTTCCAGTTTTTATTGTGACGTGAAAATGACGTCGTTTAACTGAACAGAGTGGGTTTAATTCGTCAGATATTGTTTCAATAACCATTAAACAATCATTTTTTTCCTAAATATGTATAATGTATACTTATATTTCACTTGTCCGTCTATCAATGAGCGTACATGTCATCGCTCAATGTACAGCGACAGCACATCAAACTATACATTGTTGTTCCAAAATAGCTCTTATTGCCACCAGCTCGCACTAAACGTTTCGATGACTCTTTTATAATGCAAACAGCTAGGGACTGGAATTCGCTGCCTACTGCTGTTTTTCCCGGAGACTATAATCCGGGCCTTTTCAATGCGAGAGTGAATAGGCACTTACAGGGCAGATTATATGTACCATCCTAGACTGCATCCCACTTAACACGAGGTGCGATTGTAGTCAAATGCCTGCATAAAAAAATACAACTACATAAGTGCTTTTGTACGGCAACGGCCACTTAAATTACCTAACACGAGCAAATATTATAAATCGCCGAGGAGTGACTAACCTATTAGAACCTTCCCACGGTCTCCAATGATGTTGTGTCATTATATTATGTACTTTAGTTTCTATTAAAATACTGTAAGAAGATAATATTTTTATGCTAAACGACAGATTGCAAAATAACGTTATATTATGATTTGAAAACTCATTTTTCCCAGATTTTAACAGTCAAATAACTTATTATTTATTAATTTCAAAGGTACTAAAATCGTATTTATAGTTAAGTAATTGAAAACATAGGCTTCTAAGATTAAAACTACATGTTCTTTTAAAGATGTACCTTGAAATTCTTGGTGGCAACTACTCATTTATCGATATTTGTGCCATTCCAGTGGCATTCCTGTTCAACTGGATCGGTTTCCTGCTGCTGATGTGTTTCTGCCACACGGTGGCGAGCCGCTACGGTGCATTGGCCGGCTTCGGTCTGTCGCTGGCCAAGTGGACTCTCATCGTGAAGCACTCCACCGAGCTCGCGTCCCACGAGAACTCTTGGCTGTGGTGGCTCATCATGGCCTTCGGTGAGTGAACTGGATCATTTTACTTCTTATGTGTTTCTGCGTGCTTTTGCTGGCCAAGTGGACTCTCATCGTGAAGCACTCCACTGAGCTCGCGTCCCACGAGAACTCTTGGCTGTGGTGGCTCATCATGGCTTTCGGTGAGTGAACTGGATCATTTTATATTTTATGTGTTTCTGCGGTCTGTCGCTGGCCAAGTGGACTCTCATCGTGAAGCACTCCACTGAGCTCGCGTCACACGAGAACTCTTGGCTGTGATGGCTCATCATGGCTTTCGGTGATTCAACTGGATCATTTTACTTCTGTGTGCTTTAGTTGGCCAAGTTGACTTTCATTGTTTCGCATTCCACCGAGCTTGGTCGGTGATCGATTCAGCCACACGGTGGCGAGCCGCTACGGAGCCATTTTTGGCCAAATCTACGCTGGTGTGAAGCACTCCACCGAGTGTGCGTCTCACGAGAACTCTTGGCTGTGGTGGCTCATCATGGCTTTCGGTGAGTAAACTGGATCTTTTTGACTTCTTATGTATATCTGCTAAACGGTGCGACTATCATTGTGAAACACTCCATCGAGCTGGCGTCTCACGATAACTCTTGGCTGTGGTGGCTCATCATGGCTTTTGGTGAGTGTACTGGATCAGTTTCCTGGATCGCAGGCCGGCTTTAGTGAGTATACTTGCCATGGGTGTGTGTTAATTTAAAACCTCCCATTCTTAGATGTAGATGTCGTAAAAGGCGATTAAGGGAGAAATAAGCGAATGTTAGGCTTCACCAACCCGTCTGGCTAGCGTGAAGAGTGTAGGCCAAATCCTCCATTTGCTTCTTATAAATTATAGTAAACAATAAAATTTATAAACAAATACATCACAAACACTGTCTGTTGTATCTTTATCTTATGAAAATCGTGACTATAGTTCATTTGTTAGCATTGTTTCCTGTTTGTTGTGATACGATAGATAAGGAGCATATGTTTCAGTATTGTTGATATCAACATTCTACGTTTATTTACCTCTTTTAGATTTATATCTACAGCAGGCAATGCTTTTGGTAACCACCCCCTTTACTAATTCTTCAACAAGGACTGGTGAAGTAGCAATATCCCCAATCTAACACAACGTTTGAAGAAACTTGTATTCTAACACAAGTAGATTGAGTACAAATTCTTTTGTTACCTTTATAAAGTCCGGTCGACGAGCACGTAGAATTTCGTCCGTAGAATGACGTCCTGCTACCCATCCTTATCGCTCGCGCTTAATTATATTGTGTAATAAGGATGGGTAGCTTGGAGTCATTGGACGAAATTCTACGTGCTCGGCGACCGGACTTTACCAATAAAGACTTTTCACTGTAATTTGTTATTGTATGGTTTTAATACCTATTTCTTTTCCAGGTATCTTAATCTGTGTGCGCGCCATCATCCAATACCTAAACATCAAACGCGGTTGGCGCCTTCTCTCTGGCACGGCGCAAGAGCGACTGCTGTTCTTCTACTAATCACCATCCCTCTCGCTCTCACAGCGCTCGCCACGCTGTGCGGGAAACAGATGGATATACGTCTATTTGTTCGTGTAGCTCATAGGGATAGCGTTTTCTCGTCTCTATGCTAGTGACATGTTTGATTGCTTTCGTTAATCGTTACTAGTTAACGCAATAGATGTGACTAAGAACTTTATTCATACAGTTTTGACAAACAAAATGCTAGGTCTATTATGGCTACATTATTATTAAAAAAATATTTTATTATTGACATTTTATTAATTAATTATTTATTTTGTAATTCATTTATGCGTTGGATATAGAAATTTCATAACATTGTGTCAATTGTCTTCAGAATTCATCGTATAATGTAGCCATTTTAGTCGTATTGGTCTATGTTCTTATGACATTGACACTGAAGTATGCGTCCTGTTTATGAATAAGGTGCTTTGATACTTTGCAATGAAGACTATTTTTGTATGTCAGATTCAAGTTATAACGTCCTTATCCAGTGGAACGATATAATGGGGCCGTTTGGCGGAAAAAAGCGCTTGTAAGCAAAATGGCGATCGCTAAGCGGTAAGCTCAGCTAAAAAATGAATTGAAACGCGTCAATATTGACGTCGCCCCAAGCAAACTTGGCGGCGCACTGTGGCAGACGAGGCGAAGAAGATCGGCAAGACTTGGAGCGAGATCAAACACATAGCTCAAGACCGAACGCGATGGAAGACTGTTGTGGACGCCCTCTGCCCCATCTAGGGGACATAGGACCATAAGTCAAGTAAGTCAATATTGACGTTAGTAAATGTGTCCTCGCCGAAAACTGTCGTAGCGATCGCCATTTTGTTTTGAAGCGCTTTCAAGCTTTTTTTCTGCCAAAAGCACCCTAAGGCGGTTATCACACTGCGCCGCGCTCCGTCGCGGAGCGCAGGGCGACAGATTTAATAATTGTATGCAAGTACCTCAGTTTGTATGGAAAACACGCGAGGCACTTCACACTGACAACGCGTCCGCGCGCGTGATTTTTTATATGAAATCACGCGCTCCGCGGCGGAGCGCGGCGCAGTGTGATAACCGCCTAAGTCTACGCTAATGCTAACTTCATACATCACTCTCTATATTGAAAGGATTGTTGTCTGTAGATCTACTCTACTACAAATTGTTGTTTGTTTACATCTGGTTGTGTTATGAAGACATGAAACTCCAGGTATTGAATTTCAGACTTATTTCGTCAATTATTTAGGTCCTAAATCCATTTTCAAAGTATTAGGTTCATTAAGATTCAGTTTTAAGTGTGAAATTAAAAAAGCGTTCTTATTATTGTTATATTATCTGTTCATAAAATCTTAAAATTGACTGACATTTAAGAGGCTACTCTCAGAGTTAAAAAATTAAAAGTATTTTTTTGAAATATTTATTTGATGCGTATTTTTAGCCTGAAATTAAAATCTGGAGTTACGGATTAATTTTATATCTTTATCTATAAGTAGCTCAACTTTATTTGTGAATAATCTGAAAATTATATTAAATAGATTTACAAAAGAAATATTGTAAAGGTAAATAATGTACTTATACGAGTATGTTTTTATTATATTTGCGGGTTAAGATTTTATTTTATTTGTATTTTTTGGGTGCTTTAAAACATCTTTTTTGATTTAAGTGTAATTATTATTAGACTCGAATTATAAATTTGTATTCATATTGATACGTGGCGTACGATAATATTGTATTACATAGGCCAGGATCACACCGCGGTCTCATACAAACATCACACCCTCTTACACGCTACGTATTAATGTGGATATACCTTAATGCTACAATTAATAAATTGGGGATCATTCCATATACCCATACATGGCGCAAGTACACTATGCGGGAATGTGACCGAGACCAGGCCTGGCTCACTCCGCGCGGTACATCCGATAATTATCTACAGCGAAGCGCCCCGCCGGCGGGTATTATATCAGTCGAGTGTCACGCGCGCGCCCGTCAGGACGCTGGCGTGCGTTGTAGTACCTAATTCTATGANATAATGACTGGACTATAATGTGGGGAAAAGAACTCGATGTACAGTATGTGTCGCTAGCCTCCGTGGTTGGAGGATTCCGGGTGAAGCTCGCTTCCCGGCCCTTCGGCCTGATCGTCACTTACCATCAGGTGAGATACAGGCCAAGAGCTTCCTCGTTGTGTATTGTTGGACATCTGAATACAGCTCTATCTGTCTTAACAGACCTCGGTCTATGACAGCAGCAGCATCCGTTTCCGCCGAGAGACTGACTCTCCATCTTGGTCATGCACCAGTGTACAATTATTGATTGTATGTTATATTTAGAAAGACAAATAAAACAAGAAAATTGTTTATTGGAAGTCAGATACTTTTCGCTTTACACATACATAACATGGATAAAAAAAAGCATAGATTCACGGCGGAGTTGTGCTACTGCCGTAAATACCACTTACTTTAAGGATAGCATGGACGAAGGAAACAATTAATTTCATACTAACAGCTTGTTACAAGTGGATACAATCGTCATCGTTGGACTTTTTGATGAGTGTGAAATAAAATAACAGCGTTCAATTGTCGTAAAAATGCTCAACTGCTCGTATCAAATTGCTGCTGTTTGTCGCATTCACTATTGTATTTTCATAAAACGTGAAAATTGCTCTGTAACTGACCAACATTTGGTGATATTTCAATGACGTCATTAAGTCAGGGTTTATGGATAAAATATTTTTTATAGTTGGCATCATAAAGGCTTAATTTCAATGCTACTTAGTATTTGGTAAGGACCAGAAATGTAACATGCTTGATCTCGTCATAATACGAAATGACATCAGCTATGGATGTTGATGTGAAGAAGCCATTCTTTCATTTGATAACAAAGACACGAGCGTCCAATTTTCTCGAGTACTTACGTCATGGCTTCATAAACAAATTCAAAAACCGCCGAAGTGCGGGTTATACTCGTGTGCTCCGTACTTACCTACATATTTATCGCGTCACACGTTTCTTATACACATTGTTTTGTGGGTCGCCCAAATATTTCATTAAAAATTTAAATAAATAAATATTATGACCATCGTACTCCGCATATCTATCTAGCGTTCCTAAGACAGATGGAATGATAGACAAGTAAAAGTTCTATCATTGTCCAAATTATTCGATCTTGAGATTAGCCGTGTGACAAAAATAGATTTAAATGTAGATGTTTGCTTTTTAGTAGCATGCTAATTGGATACGCTTTAATTGTAATCTATTAACACAACCTGTTTGATGAATCGATCACCTAAACTACGTGCGATTATCGTGTCAATCGTTCCAGTTTTTATTGTGACGTGAAAATGACGTCGTTTAACTGAACAGAGTGGGTTTAATACGGCATAATATTGTTTCAATAACCATTAAACAATCAAATTTTTCCTAAATATGTATAATGTATACTTATATTTCACTTGTCCGTCTATCAATGAGCGTACATGTCATCGTTCAATGTACAGCGACAGCACATCAAACTATACATTTTTGTTCCAAAATAGCTCTTATTACCACCAGCTCGCATTAAACGTTTCGATGACTCTTTTATAATGCGAACAGCTAGACTGGAATTCGCTGCCTACTGCTGTTTTTCCCGGAGACTATAATCCGGGCCTTTTCAATGCGAGAGTGAATAGGCACTTACAGGGCAGATTATATGTACCATCCTAGACTGCATCCCACATAACACGAGGAGCGATTGTAGTCAAATACATCCCACATAACACGAGGAGCGATTGTAGCCTGCATAAAAAAATACAACTAGTACATAAGTGCTTTTGTACGGCAACGGCCACTTAAATTACCTAACACGAGCAAATATTATAAATCGCCGAGGAGTGACTAACCTATTAGAACCTTCCCACGGTCTCCAATGATGTTATGTGTCATTTTATACCTACTTGCACGTTTAGGATAAAAAGATAACATTTTTATGCTAAACGACAGATTGCAAAATAATGTTCATCTGAAAACGAATTTCACCTAGATTGTAAAGTTTAAACGTCAAATAATTAACTTAATTTCCTATTGGTTTAGTGCTTTACATAGTCAGTTCGTGAGGTGAGGTGTGGAAGCGGCACAGGAACCCGTGTTTTTGAGATGTCAAAGGTCAACGAGACTTCAGATTTCTTTCTTTGTATGCTCTGTCACGTCATAATATGTCAATGTCACCCCTCCCGTGCCGTTCCCATACCTCAGGCACTGACTGAGTTTTAAGCGCTAGATCTATAGATAACCATTAAAAAAGTGTTCAACGGGGTTCTAGGACTACGATTGTGTTTTTTTAAATGTACCTTGAAATTATTGATGCCAACTACTCATTTATCGATATTTGTGCCATTCCAGTGGCATTCCTGTTCAACTGGATCGGTTTCCTGCTGCTGATGTGTTTCTGCCACACGGTGGCGAGCCGCTACGGTGCATTGGCCGGCTTCGGTCTGTCGTTGGCCAAGTGGACTCTCATCGTGAAGCACTCCACTGAGCTCGCGTCCCACGAGAACTCTTGGCTGTGGTGGCTCATCATGGCTTTCGGTGAGTGAACTGGATCATTTTATATCTAATGTGTTTCTGCGGTCTGTCGCTGGCGAAGTGGACTCTCATCGTGAAGCACTCCACCGAGCTCGCGTCCCACGAGAACTCCTGGCTGTGGTGGCTCATCATGGCTTTCGGTGAGTGAACTGGATCATTTTATATCTAATGTGTTTCTGCGACCGAAAGCCATGATGAGCCACCACTCTTGGCTGTGGTGGCTCATCATGGCTTTCGGTGAGTCAACTAGATCATTTTACTTCTGTGTGCTATAGTTGACCAAGTAAACCAAGTTGACTTTCATTGTTTCGCACTCCACCGAGCTTGGTCGGTGATTGGTTTGGCCACACGGTGGCGAGCCACTACGGAGCCATTTCTGGCCAAATCTACGCTGGTGTGAAGCACCCACCGAGTGTGCGTCTCACGAGAACTCCTGGCTGTGGTGGCTCATCATGGCTTTCGGTGAGTGAACTGGATCATTTTACTTCCAATGTATTTCTGTCACATGATGGCAAATGGACTCATTGTGAAGCATTTCACCGAGCTCTTGGCTGTGCTAAGCCACTGGCCAAATCTACGCTGGTGTGAAGCACTCCACCGAGTGTGCGTCTCACGAGAACTCTTGGCTGTGGTGGCTCATCATGGCTTTCGGTGTGAGTAAACTGGATCATTTTGACTTCTTATGTATATCAGCTAAACGCTGCGACTATCATTGTGAAGCACTCCACCGAGTGTGCGTCTCACGAGAACTCTTGGCTGTGGTGGCTCATCATGGCTTTCGGTGAGTAAACTGGATCATTTTGACTTCTTATGTATATCTGCTAAACGGTGCGACTATCATTGTGAAACATTCCATCGAGCTCGCGTCCCACGATAACTCTTGGCTGTGGTGGCTCATCGTGGCTTTTGGTGAGTGAACTGGATCAGTTTCCTGGATCGCAGGCCGGCTTTAGTGAGTATACTTGCCATGGGTGAGTGTTAATTTAAAACCTCCCATTCTTTCCGTAGATGTCGTAAAAAGCGATTAAGCGAATGTTAGGCTTCACCAACCCGTCTGGCTAACGTGAAGAGTGTAGACCAAATCCTCCATTTGCTTGCTTCTGATATATTATAGTAAACAATAAAATTCATAAACAAATACATCACAAACACTTGACTGTCTGTTGTATCTTTATCTTATGAAAATCGTGACTATAGTTCATTTGTTAGCATTGTTTCCTGTTTGTTGTGATACGATAGATAAGGAGCAAATGTTTGAGTATTGTTGATATCAACATTCTACGTTTAGTTACCTCTTTTAGATTTATATCTACAGCAGGCAATGCTTTGGTAACCACCCCCTTTACTAATTCTTCAACAAGGGCTGGTGAAGAGCAATATCCCCAAACTAACACAACGTTTGAAGAAACTTGTATTCTTACACAAGTAGATAGAGTACAAATTCTTTTGTTACCTTTATAAAGTCCGGTCGACGAGCACGTAGAATTTCGTCCAATGACCCCAAGCTACCCATCCTTATCGCTCGCGCTTAATTATATTGGGTAATAAGGATGGGTAGCTTGGGGTCATTGGACGAAATTCTACGTGCTCGGCGACCGGACTTTACCAATAAAGACTTTTCACTTTAATTTGTTATTGTATGGTTTTACATACTACCTATTTATTTTCCAGGTATCTTAATCTGTGTGCGCGCCATCATCCAATACCTAAACATCAAACGCGGTTGGCGCCTTCTCTCTGGCACGGCGCAAGAGCGACTGCTGTTCTTCTACTAAACACCACCCCTCTCGCTCTCACAGCGCTCGCCACGCTGTGCGGGAAAGAGATGGATATACGTCTATTTGTTCGTGTAGCTCATAGGGATAGCGTTTTCTCGTCTCTATGCTAGTGACATGTTTGATTGCTTCGTTAATCGTTACTAGTTAACGCCATAGATGTGACTAAGAACTTTATTCATACACTTCTGACAAAAAATATACTAGGTCTATTATGGCTACATTATTATTTATGGTTAAAATTGTTTTATTATTGACATTTAATTCATTATTTATTTGTAATTCATTGGGATACCTACATATAGAAATTTCATAACATTGTGTCAATTGTCTTCAGAATTCATCATAATGTAGCCATTTTAGTCGTATTGGTCTGTGTTCTTATGACATTGACACTGAAGAATGCGTCCTGTTTATGAATAAGGTGCTTTGATACTTTGCAATGAAGACTATTTTTGTATGTCAGATTCAAGTTTGTAACGTCCTTATCCAGTGGAACGAAATAATGGGGCCGTTTGGCGGAAAAAAGCGCTTGTAAGCAAAATGGTAATCGCTAAGCTCAGCTAAAAAATGAATTGAAACGCGTCAATATTGAAGTTAGCAAACGTGTCCTCGGCGAAAACTGCCGTAGCGATCGCCATTTTGGTTTAAAGCGCTTCCAAGCGCTTTTATCCGCCAAACGCACCCAAAGTCTATACTAATGCTAACTTCATACATCACTCTATATTGAAAGGATTGTTGTCTGTCGATCTACTCTACGATGAACAGTACAAATTGTTGTTTGTTTACATCTGGTTGTGTTATGAAGACATGAAACTCCAGGTATTGAATTTCAGACTTATTTCGTCAATTATTTAGGTCCTAAATCCATTTTCAAAGTATTAGGTTCATTAAGATTCAATTTTAAAAGTGTGAAATTAAAAAAAAAGTAATTTAAAAAATATTTTCAGTTCATAAAAAAATAAAATTGACTGACATTTATGAGGCTACTCTCAGAGTTAAAAATAAAAGTATTTTTTTTTTAATTTATATTTATTTGATGCGTATTTTCAGCCTGAAATTAAAATCTGGAGTTACGGATTAATTTTATATCTTTAACTATAAGTAGCTGAACTTTATTTGTGAATAATCTGAAAATTATATTAAATAGATTTACAAAAGAAATATTGTAAAGGTAAATAATGTACTTATACGAGTATGTTTTTATTATATTTGCGGGTTAAGATTTTATTTATTTATTTATTTATTTGAACACCAACAAGGTTACATTGAGGCTTCACAAAAGTAACTATAAAAAATGAAATTTTATTTTATTTGTATTTTTTGGGTGCTTTAAAACATCTTTTTTTGATTTAAGTGTAATTATTATTAGACTCGAATTATAAAGTGTATTATAATAATGATGTATTCATATTGATACGTGGTATGAAAAGTGCCAAGATCACCGCGGTCTCATACAAACATCACACTCTCTTACACGCTACGTATTAATGTGGATACCTTAATGCTACAATTAATTGGGGATCATTCCATATACCCATACATGGCGCAAATACACTATGCGGGAAATTGACCGAGACGTATAGTGTAAACACGCACTTCGGTTAGTTTCGCTGAGCGTCGCTCATACTTCGATGTGCGGCTCGCACTTCGTCTTTGTCAATTTCCCGCATAGTGTACTTGCGCCATAGATTTTATCTCGAAAGTCTGATTCGAGTTCCTTATTTTCATTTTCATGACATTGTTTATGATAAGTAATTGTAATGGAATACATATTTTAATACCTACTTTAACAATCCCGTACGATATAGTTCAGACTTTCATTTTCAAATACAATACGTTCCCAAAAGGTATATTTATACAATGTTTGTGATTTGTTAAAATCGAATCTGTATTTTTACTAAATGGGATTCTTTCATATTTCAGTAAACATTGTGTAAATGATCCTTTAAATCGTGTGTGAAACATACATTATTAGTTGATTTAATTTAAATCCTAGAGCATTTTAATGATAGCGTGTAATATAAGTCATTGTGTATTTGATACATAATATAATGATCTTGTCAACGCATTGTATTGAAACGATTTTTGTGTAATTATCACCGCTTTGTAAATTGTAAGAGTAAATTAAATGTATTTGGAATAGCTGGAGTTTGGAGTAAAGACGGCTTTTACCAGTTCTCGCACCAAAATGTCGATATCAAATTATTAGTGGATTGAAACATTTTATTTTTTTAGTGCAATAACGTCTAGTTCAGATATTTGTAGATGAAATAAATATGTTATTTTCTATTCGTAGATTTTGTATATTTCTAACAAACCCTTTAATTTTTAGAAATAGGTTGTAATTACTTTTATTCTACTTTGCAAAAATTATGAAGAAGTTTTTTATGATGAAGAATTCTTAAAATTTTAATTTCTTTACTGCCGATTCTTTTTTTATTTTTGTAAAAGCTACACAGGAGCGCAAAGAAGAAGGGTCGGTTAGAAAATCTTCAAAAGTACAGTTGGAGTCAAATAGTTCGTGTCACCCAAAGTAGCCAATAAGTTGTTAACGTCTTTGTTACAATTGGAATAAGATTGTGTTGTCAACTTTTTGGTCACTTGGGTGTCACAAACCATTTGACGCGCTGACTGTACCTGACCTAGATTTATGAAACAATCTCAACTAGTGTGAAATCAAATAACGTAAGTGGAAGTTCTTCTATGTATTTTACTTAACTTCATAACTTACTTACTGTGATGGGTAGTAGTGGTGGTATGGTTAGTACGCATTGACTTTGAAAAATGACCTTTTTGGGTGTTAAACGAGTTGAAATACTTCAATCAAAAACACCTTCATGGACATGGATGAAGTAACTGTAGATATTTTTTAAAACATTTGAAAGTAGTTATGTAGTGTATGTAGATGAGCGTATTGGTAGAAGTAGATAGAGTATAGAGCAATAAAAATAATCCAAACTATGTATTACAATGATCCCAATGGCTCAGGGTTGGCATGTTTAACCAAAAGTGTCAAGATCTTAGTAACTTATTGGGTACTGGGAGTAGATATTATTTCAATGAACTTCTTAAAAGTGGCTGATTGCATTGGATTTTTTGAGTAAGTATGTACAGACGAGAAGGTGAAAACATCTCGTGAAAATCATTAGGTGAGTAAAAATATTGTGTAAGTATTTTAGTGGGCCTATAGGACGGTGCATGGTAGTACTTAGATTTGAAAAATATTTAGAAGACAAATACACTAACGTCAAGCAAAAACGGCTAACTTTGAAACAATGTCCACAGATCACCGTCCACCAGAAGACCGTCTGAAGACATTGATCAGAAATCAGGAATTGTGAAGAGGAATTGTGAATTCAAGTGTACCTACCGGGGGGCTAACATCTACAGGCTGGATAATCTGGATATGTTTGGTAAGTGTTATAAGTCATATAACTTTTTCAAATATCTTTTGAGTGAACTAAAGGACAGATAATTTCTTTGGAACACTTGCTCATTTTCAGTTATTGAGGCCGTGAACTTTTTTTCGCTTAGGGCACTGCAATAGGTACCTAAGGAATACCGTAAAATGAAAGTGAGTTCCAAGTCCAAGTACCTAATGATGATTTGATAATTCACTAATCTAAAACTTCACAGAGAGTGCTTTTACTCCAAAATACTCCAAATAAAACGTACTCTGTAGGTATGTGTAGCTTAATTTTCGAAAAATAAAAGTACGTAGTGTTAGTTACTTGTAAGTTAATTTACGTGTGAGTCAAGCTGTTTTTCGTTAATCAATGACAAAATTCATTCAAGATCATTATGTTGCGCAACTCTGACGAAAATGCTCGATGATCGGTTGTACCCTCAAAATAGTATTTTCATTCATCTCAACCCCTGACGACAATACAAGACATTCCATTAAAAGTGATCCGCGGCCAGAATTCACACTTCCTGTATCACGCGAATCTCGATATAGAGAGAAATTATAGCGCCAAACAATTATAATATCACAATGCAATGCGGCTATATAAATTGCACCACTGCAAGACGGGTTGATAAGTCCACCAACTCGCATTTATTTAAATCGCCTTGCGGTTACTCCTTCTGTACCTGTACTATTACTTATTCTGTGCCGAGACGTATAGTGTAAACACGCACTTTGGTTAGTTTCGCCGAGCGTCGCTCATACTTTGGTGTGGGGCTCGCACTTCGTCTTGGTCAATTTCCCGCATAGTATACTTGCGCCATAGATTTTATCTCGAAAGTCTGATTCGAGTTCCTTATTTTCATTTTCATGACATTGTTTATGATAAGTAATTGTAATGGAATACATATTTTAATACTTACTTTAACAATCCCGTACGATATAGTTCAGACTTTCATTTTCAAATACAATACGTTCCCAAAAGGTACATTTATACAATGTTTGTGATTTGTTAAAATAGAATCTGTATTTTTACTAAATGGGATTCTTTCATATTTCAGTCAACAGTGTGTAAATGATCCTTTATATCGTGTGTGACACATACCTTATTAGTTGATTTAATTTAAATCCTAGATCATTTTAATGATAGCGTGTAATATAAGTCATTGTGTATTTGATACATAATATAATGATCTTGTCAACGCATTGTATTGAAACGATTTTTGTGTAATTATCACCGCTTTGTAAATTGTAAGAGTAAATTAAATGTATTTGGAATAGCTGGAGTTTGGAGTAAAGACGGCTTTTACCAGTTCTCGCACCAAAATGTCGATTTCAAATTATTTGTGGATTGAAACATTTTATTTTTTTAGTGCAATAACGTCTAGTTCAGATATTTGTAGATGAAATAAATATGTTATTTTCTATTCGTAGATTTTGTATATTTATAACAAACCCTTTAATTTTTAGAAATAGGTTATAATTAATTTCATTCTACTTTGCAAAATTAATGAAGAAATCGTTGAATTCTTAAAATTTTAATTTCTTTACTGCCGATTCTTTCTTTATTTATGTAAAAGCTACACAGGAGCGCAAAGAAGAAGGGTCGGTTAGAAAATCTTCAAAAGTAGGTACAGTCGGAGTCAATAGTTCGTGACACCCAAAGTACCTAGCTAATAAGTTCGCAACACGTCTTTGTTACAATAGACATGTTGACACCACCAATCAATTGACGTACTTTTTAAAACTGTCAAAACGAAACTCTCCCAGTTTTTAAGACCAGAATGAAGGGTCTTTTTTAAAAAAGTTGTGCTTTTGAATTATTGAGGTATGGTTTCAAACTGTCTATTGGAACAAGATTGTGTTGTCAACATTTTGGCCATTTGAGTGTCACAAACTAATTGACGCGCTGACTGTACCTGATCTAGCTTTATGAAACAATCTCCACTAGTGTGAAATCAAATAACTTAATAAGATGTGTATCAATGCTTGTTGAGTTCAATTGTTTTATACACTAATATTATCTTCTAGAATCTGGTCTGTGAGCACGTAGAATTTTGTCCAATGACCCCTAGCTACCCATCCTTATCGCTCGCGCGTAATTATATTGCTGTCGCGACTGTGCGACTGGCACCCGCAGTGAGTGTGCGAGCCCGATAGCAATATAATTACGCGCGAGCGATAAGGATGGGTAGCTAGGGGTCATTGGACAAAATTCTACGTGCTCACAGACCGGGCTTTATGCATCTTACTTAACTTCATAACTTACGCCCATATTCACAAACATTACTATGCTGTCTCACACACAGTGCGCGTGGACGCACAGGGTGACGCACGAACCTATCACAGAGCTTTATTCAACGCTGTGCGTTCGATTTGCAGCTTCACTTAAGCAAGCATCGTTTATGAATACGGGCGTTACTTACGGTGATGAGTAGTGGTGGTGGTGGTATGGTTAGTTAGTATCGACTTAGAAAAAGGAGTTTTTTGGGTGTGAAACTAAAAAAAATACTTCTGAAACAGACCTTTATTCATTCATGGACATGGATGAAGTAGCTATAGATATTTTTTGAAACATTTGAAAGTAGTTATGTAGTGTATGTAGATGAACGTATTGGTAGAAGTAGATAGAGCAATAAGAAGAATCAAAATTATGTATTACAATGATCCGGTGATCCCAATGTCTCAGGGTTGGCATGTTTAAAATAAGATGTTTTAAATCACATGTTTAAAACTGAAATAAATCAGTGTTTTTTATTAAGTGTTTAAAAACATTGATAAAAACAAGTTTTAAACATAAAACATTAATAAAAAAACAAGGTAAAACTACTTTTCTTCACGAATGAACGGAAATAAATGAAATTCATCTGTATGTTTTTTATGAGGTATTATCACGGGACTATTCCCACCTCTCGTTCCCACCGCTGCAACTCCTGTGTAGCCAGGATCTAGCTTGACCGCCAATAAAAACCCAACCAGTGAAGGTCAAGTTTGTCCCGGGGGAAAGTTAAAACGATCGAACGAGGTATTATCAGGCATAGAATTAGTAATGAAATGAAATAGTAGAAAGCAAGGCACTCGAATATATTGACTTAAAAGGTTATTCTCCTCCGGTTAAGTCCGGCCAGGAAAGCCCTGTATTGGCCGTTAAAAGAAAGTAGGTAGTTTTGGTAGGCCTAATGTTTCATATATCTCTATCTAGATAGATAGATATGTAGATACCTATCCTACCTAACCTAGGAATGAAAAAAGGTCTAATTCTTCTTCTTGTCGTGTCGACAACAAACTTACACAGCGTCAGCCCAAAACTCCGCCACAAGAGTGGCGTTGTCAGTAGCCTTCATTAAATCTTCCTGCGTTTAGTTGTTTGGGCACGCAGGGCACGACATCATGTTCTTCCTGGCTAGGCCTAGGACCTATAAAGAAAAAACAAACAAACGCATGTATAAAACATTTTGAACCCTGCGATGGCTTGGTCCCTTTACGTTACGTTACACTGCAGTGTTACGTTACAGTGCACTGTATGTAAGAAGGTCCTATTCAAGATTCAAATAAAGTATTGTCTGCCTTAAAAAGTTATAAAAGTAGGTAGGTACAGTTCACCAAAAGTGTCATGGTCTTAGTAACTTATTGGGTACTGGGAGTAGATATTATCTCACTGGACTTCTTGAAAGTGAGTGCATTGGATTTTTTAAGTAAGTAAGTATGTACAGACGAGGTCTTGTGAAAATTCATTAGGTGAGTAAAAATATTGTGTAAGTACATAACCAGTGTTTTAGTTGTACTTCTGTTGTAGTGACCGTGCATGGTAGTACCTACTTAGATTTGAAAAATATTTAGAAGACAAATACACTAACGTCAAGCAAAAACGACTAACTTTGAAAAAATGTCCACAGATCAGACCGTCTGAAGACATTGAACAGAAATCAGGATATTGTGAATTCAAGTGTACCGGGGGGCTAACATCTACCTACAGGCTGGATAATCTGGATATGTGTGGTAAGTAAGTCATAATAACTTTTTGAAATATCTTTCAAGTGAACTAAAGGACAGTAATTTCTTAGGAACACTTGCTCATTTTCAGTTAATGCGGCCGTCAACTATTTTAAGCTTAGGGCACTGCATGAATACCGTAAAATGAAAGTAAGTTCCAAGTCCAAGTTTTGATGAAAATGTTTGTTAATTCACTAATCTAAAATTTCACAGAGAGTGCTTTTACTCCAAAACACTCCAAATGTAATGAACTCCTGTATGTGTAGCTTGATTTTCGAAAAATAAGAAGTACCTACGTAGTGTTACTTGTAAGTTAATTTACGAGTACATGTGAGTCAAGCTGTTTTTCGTTAATCAATGACAAAATTAATTCAAGATCATTATGTTGCGCAACTCTGACGAAAATGCTCGATGATCGGTTGTACCCTCAAAATAGTATTTTCATTCATCTCAACCCCTGACGTCAATACAAGACATTCCATTAAAAGTGATCCGCAGCCAGAATTCACACTTCCTGTATCACGCGAATCTCGATATAGAGAGAAATTATAGCGCCAAACAATATCACAATGCGGCTATATAAATTGCACCACTGCAAGACGGGTTGATAAGTCCACCTATGCCAAAAACCACCCAGTGTGCTGCCAGCAGCCGAGTAGGGGTGACGCGACGGCCATCTTGCCAGTTTTCCCGCGTTTTCGAACCGCCTAGTGTTAACTTAGTTCAAACCCAAGTGCCCTTATGAAGGAAGCAACACTAACGGATTTCTATAGTGATCCTGTACTCAATAGCACGTGTGATCGTGATAATAATTTTTACAGAATATTAGGTACGTAATTCAGTACTTTTACATATATATTTTTCTTTTATTAACCCTTAAATACAGCCAAATCTAACTTTTAAATATTGATCATCAGTTTGTTAGCCTATTTATTTATGTTACTATAGTATTCAAAGCCAAAAGCGCAGTCCATTAATCATGGAAGTCTTCATACCGGCTTACTCGCACTGGTAGAGCCTGCATTCCATTGGCACGGCGCCAGCTTTCCACCCGGTGGTAATGGTGTAGGTACTATGAATCAGTTCAGGGTTAGGTAACACGGTTTATTCGGGGGGTTAAGTAACCCGTGTAACATAGGTTAAATGAGTGCGAGCTTGGCTGAACCTTGTTATTGACCTATTGACTTTCACTAAAGTAACTTTTTTAAACTTTGAAAAAAATCGTGAAAATTCAGTTCGCACCCAACACGAGTCAGTTAATAGGTAGAGATTCAATTTCTGAAAATACTAATATTTTTACGTAATAAAATATATTAAAGATTAAACTTATTAATAATCAATAGAAATAATAATAATTATCTATTATCCAGATATTCCCAAGATCTTAGTATCAAGACACAATTGTGATCAACATTAGTATCTTGTCCTACAATTATTACCTACTAATCCTACTATGTATTTATATACCCTACCGTACCGTAAAAAGTAATGAAGGAGATTTCGTATTGAGCCAAGCATTAGTCCTTCTTACTTAAATCTTTTTTTATGTTTTTAGATTTATTGCATTTGTAAAAACATACACAATTTTCATAACAATTGGCATGTGTTGGAATATCCCATATCGAGAAAACAATCCGTTACTATTTTTCAATCAATCTGATACTTTATGCTCTCATTGTACAAATACCGCGTGTAAAGTAAATACCTAAGCATTAACCACTCAAGTAGTTTCATAAACATGTCTACCACGGAAAATTATTGCCTATTATTAGTGATCTATTAAAGAAAAAGTCAAAATAAGTTGCACAATACAATACAAACATATTGAACGAGAATGGGAAATCCTAGTTCGCGCAATCAATTTTCTCGTTCAGGGTGAAAAGCCTTGGGTTATAATATGGGAGTGTCTGGAGTTGACCCACCTTGATTTTGTAAGTGAGCTATGACTTAACTGGTTTTTTGCACGTGCTATAATGAAGCACATATCATTAATCATGTTTTAACTGAAATATTTCAGTCGCAAAGTAGAATTTAAATAATTAGGTACGAAACTTTTTTTAATTTTTTTTTACCCGACTGCCATGTTAGGGTTGTTTTTTAAATGTTATAACTTACCTAATATTTCTAAAAACGTTATTAAGTATTATGTTCTTGAAATTATAAAATAAATTAAATCAATTGATGCGTTCACACTGATGAAGTTGGAAAAGTTTTGCGACCCTGAAACATCGCACGTGTTTTCCCCGAAGGACAGCATTTCATATTATTGCTCTTCCATTTTATGTACTTCTAATTATTAAAAGTTTTTAAATTTGTATTATTGTGGAAAAAGAATTATAATGCATAGCTCTGCAGTTCTTGACGGTCCAGTTATTTAATAGCTCAAGGATCGAATGAGGAAATTTTTCAGAATATTAGTTGATTTAGTTGTCATTTTAATTTCTCCCATACCGTGAATAGCGTGTTATAATATGCAGCGATGAGAAGAGCTTGAAGATATGTTTGAATGAGGAAATTTTTATCATTTTAATATCTTAAATTCCGCGTATTGAGCTAATAAAATAATTTAAAGGAGTGCGTCTTTAAAGTAATCATGTTCCTCATGGGTAGTTTCGTAGTCCATTTGGTGGACTAACGGTGAATAGCAACATCGTCCCCACAGCAATTTAGAAATGTAGACACCATAGCCTAACTCTACGTGGTGATCCGGTACTGAACACGCTGAACTTCTTCATTCATTCTCATTTTATGTTATAGGAGATCTTAAATTGGCTACAAGTAAACGCAAAACTTTCCTTGTAAAAAAGTGGATCACTATAGAGCTATAGTTCTACATGCTGCATTCCGTAACCCAGCGGTTGCTAACCCTGTCTTGGCGAGGGTTGGCGTCACAACGCCGTCGCGACGCTGCGGCGACGCGTCGCCAGTTCACTCTAGATTTACGATCGAATTATTCGCTCCTCGTCTAGCGAGTTTATGGACTCACTAATATTGTTAACAGCGTGGAATTAACGATGATAATATTGGCTATATTAATCACGGTAAGTTATCGTGTTAGAGCCTATTAATTGATACCTAGTAAAGTAGCGGGATACAACTTTACAGGAACATTAAACGTTGTTGTAATCTAGTCTTCTTCCGTTATTTCTAAAGTAGGTACTCGAGGATAAATAATAAATATCCTTAGACATTTTACACTACGCTTCTGTCCCAAACTCAGATCATAGAAGNGAACCCGAAACAAAAAACCAGTCACGAGTTTGGGTGTTCGAAAATGAATTAAAGCCAACAAAAATTGTTCGTTCACGGAGTGTTGCAAAAAAAATGGTGGCCACGTTTGTCTCCAAAACCGGCCATGTTGCGACTATTCCTCTTGGGGGACAAAGAACGGTTAATGCAGATTAGTATGCTAGCATTTGTTTGCCACAGGTCGTTTCTGAACTCCGTAAAGAGAACTGCAACCGCCGCATCATCCTCCATCACGACAATGCGAGTTCTCACACCGCGCACTGAACAAAGGAGTTTTTAGAGCAAGAAAACATAGAATTATTAGTCCATCCGCCGTACAGCCTCGACCTAAGCCCTAATGATTTCTATACTTTCCCTTAAATAAAGAATAAATTGCGTGGTCAGAGATTTTCATCACCTGAAGAAGCTGTGGAAGCCTACAAAACGGCCATTTTGGAGACCCAAACTTCCGAATGCAATGGTTGCTTCAATGATTGGTTTCGTGTATGGAAAAATGTGTCAAATTTCGCGGAGAATACTTTAAAAAGCAATAAATACATTTTTAAATAGTAATGTTGTTTCACTTCCTTGATTCCCGAAATTTTCAGTGCCGCCCTCGTACACACTAAACTTCTTCATTCATTCCCATTTTATGTTATGGGAGATCTTATATTGGCTACAAGTAAACGCAAAACATTTCCTCCTTGTAAAAAAGTGGATCATATAGAGCTATAGTTCTACATGCTGCATTCCGTAGCCCAGCGGTTGCTAACCCTGTCTTGGCGAGGGTTGGCGTCACAACTAGGGTTGCCAGGCGTCTGGCTTTTTAGGGACATGTCCGGCCAAATATTGCCTTGTCCGGCCTGTCCGCCTTTTGTTATTTGGTTGTCGCGCCAGGCGAAAGTCGAGCCACAGAATCATTTATGAAGCGCACGCATCCATCAGGATGTTGGTTAGCAACCGATGATGCGATGATGATAGTACTCACCCATGAGCTGACAACCAATTGTCACGTGTCCGGCTTTTAGGGTAAAATGTCCGGCCAAATTAAGCGCAAAGTCCGGCTTTTGTGATTTTGGACCTGGCAACCCTAGTCACAACGCCATCGCGACGCCGCGGCGACGCGTCGCCAGTTCACTCTAGATTTACGATCGAATTATTCGCTCCTCGTCTAACGAGTTTATGGACTTACTAATATTGTTAACAGCGTGGAATTAACGATGATAATATTGGCTATATTAATCACGGTAAGTTATCGTGTTAGACAACAACCACTCTTGTGGCGGAGTTTTGGGCTGACACTGTGTAGGTTTGTTGTCGACACGAAAAGAAGAAGAAGATCGTGTTAGAGCCTATTAATTGATACCTAGTAAAGTAGCGGGATACAACTTTACAGGAACATTAAACGTTGTTGTAATCTAGTCTTCTTCCGTTATTTCTAAAGTAGGTACTCGGGGATAAATAATAAATATCCTTAGACATTTTACACTACGCTTCTAGTCCCAAACTAAGCAAAGCTTGTACTATGAGTTGGGGTACTAGACAACGGTTAAAACATACCTACTTAAATACTTTTTTTTAATACACACATAGATAGTTAGATTTTACTTATGAATACAAAAACAAAAGCTATACTGATTATTTTGAGTTAGAGTTGTGGAACTCCGGAAAAAAGATGTACCTACATTCGCGTGCCTAAGGCCCAGTTTTTTGATTCGTAGTTAAAATAACCAATAGTTAAATTTGACAGATGTCAAGTGACAAGTGGTTAAATATCAGAAAAAAATGTTTTTCGAACAATGGTTAGTCTGACTTTTAGTACATTTTTTAACCATTAGTTTGTTAATATTTAACCATTAGTAGCAAATTTAACAATTAGTTATTTTAACTATGAATCAAAAAACTGGGCCTAAGAGAATCGCTCTTCAACTCAAATGCTTCCTAAACACATCTTCAACTCTTATTTTGAATCTACAAGTATTGAAGACTAAATCTTAATTTCGTAGAGGTAATGTTTCTCTCGTGATTCGGAAAAAGAGTTATTCTGCGCATCTCTATTTTGAGTAGAGTATGGGGCCACAATTTAATTGGCTATTCAGTATCTCACATCGCGCTGAACTCTATGCGCGAATGCATCTGAACGCAATGTATGGGGTTCTAGTATTTTAAAATCGCACATGTGCAAACGCGCGTAGAACTAACCTGAAAACGGTCTTACCTAACTTTCATATTACACAACCTAATCTTCAGTTTTTTCAAGCATTATTACTTGAATGCTCACTATTTTTCTCTTTATAGCTTCTTCAAGGCAACCATCAATAGCTAATGAAATGTCGTTTTCAACGAGGCATTAAACTGAAATGTCTGAAAGCTGTTTTCGTTGTTCACAGGTTTTTATGAGATATAAACTGGAAGGCCCATGATCGCTATATTTTTCTTTTTTATCGCTATAGTAAGGTGAAAATTAGCAGTATTATTAATTAGTTGTTGCCTGCATTGGTCGTTTTCAAGTTTTATAAGTCTGTCCTTTCCTTATTGTTTTTATATTGAATAGGATTGATCTTGATGACAAGATTTGTTTCTTTTACTATTCGTGAAACC